CACATCACACGACGTATGCCTGCCTCCAGAAAACCCCAAATCCACCACACCATGATCAACTTTGATTCATCCCTCACCCCACCCTGCCTTAACTCAGACAACCTAGCCTTGTGCTATCATGCATAAGGCAGCACATTACCCAGGAGACTCCATGCTGCTCTTTGCCTTATCCCCACCAGTACTTCAGGAAATAAATTGACCGCAAGGTGAAGTTTGTCATATGCAAGTCATTTTGCAAATACGTAAACTGGATCATTAAATATTTACATAAGTTGCTACATGTTTTTTGTACAAAACTTGGCAGCTCTGGAATGCTTATTTGTGACATCAAGCTAGAGCTTGGGAAAAGAGGAGGAGAAAAGACCCTGGAGTGGGAAGAAGGAAAGAATAGTTAATCCCTTTTCTCTCAAACAAGTGCTACAGAAAAAGCACACATGATGATAGTCTTTTCCATGACTGCACACAGGGTTCCTGCCTAGATGTCCTGGAAATAACTAGTGCAATGTTCCTACAAGCACGCACCGCACATTTGCTTCTTGGAATCTCTCTCGGCCCCTCTTCCCCTCCACCTCCGTGTGCATTAGGCTTTGGCCTCCCTGGTTGTCTATTGGCTGCCACTTTGTTTAGGGAACTGAGACCACATAGAAAGTTGTTTGCACCACTATTTTCTTTATAGTTCCCATGAACTGCTGCTAAAAACCAGGACAAAAAGAAACAAGATGCCCTGAGGGAACTGCTCATTGGACTAGAACTGGTACAGAAGGACTACAGATTATTTCCATTCTTAATAGTATTAGAGTTCAGGGCCATCTGGAGACCCTGCTCTCTTGCAGTACAGGACAAAAGCAAGAGGAAAAATAAAAATCTAGAGACCATCACTATCCCCCGGTCTCTAGCACCTATCTCTTCATGACATCCACATGGTATGTTAATTTGCAACCAAGTATGAACAGAATCTAAAGCTTGGCAGGGAGGTACAAATCATTTATGGAACTTTTGGCGATATCTCTATTACAGCAGAATCTCTCTAGCCAAAGTTAGACAGGTTTATTCTAGCAGTTCAGCATTAAATAACATGATCCAGGAGCAATTTTACCAGGCTTTGCAGGGAAAGAAAACAAGACTCATCACAAAAAAAAAGTAATACATATATATGCACACACACACACACATATATATAAAAAGCAAATGACTCAGTTTCCAAGTTAGGTTCTGCCATTAACAGACTTTTGAACCTCTTCTTTCTCTGACTAGATTCTCGCTGCAGTCACTGAGAGCTGTCCAGCTCCCCTGAGTCTTCAGCGCATAGACCCTGCTGTTAAGTTAAACAGTTGGGTCACATGAAGACCTACAAAGGCTACCTCTACCTTGAGCATAGGTGGGCCACCCTCTGCTACCTAAGGAGGACTCAAGGAAGGCTGCAAAACAAAAGCAACTTGAAGAACATAAAAAAAAAAAATGAAATCTAAAGAGGAGATTAAAAAAGGGATCTGGTAATTAGCATTATCCTAAAAGATACTAGGAAAGAGAGGGATAACTAAAGCTTGCACAACGCACTTTACTGGATGATGGCATTATGCTGTGGTGGGGGTAAGTACATCACTGCAAGATGTACAAACACTCACCAATGAGCCATTTTCCTATTTAAACAATTCCTTCAGCCAAAAGAGTTGTTTTGCTGAAGCTCAACGAGAACAGGTTGTTCTCAGTGAAGACCAAGTGCAAGGCCTTTAGTGTAGGCCTACTTGTTATCCCCTGGATGTTTCTAGCTGCCTGCCATGGGAATTGGAGAGATATAACCAAAGGCATTACTATAGTCCACTTAGGACTATATTAGACTTCCCTGTAATTCAAACAGTAATGATCCATCTCCCCCATTTTATGCAATAAGAAAATTCAAGATTTAATTTTTAGATATATATACATACACACATAAATTTCCTAAAATGAGGCAGATGTCTGAATGTGCAGTAAATTTCTAATAAGTAAATAAAATAAATAAATAGGTAAAACTTTCTCCAGAATGATCCAAACTCTAGTTATTTTAACAAAAGCAAGGAAGCTGTGAAACTCTTCTGACCTGATACACTACACAGGTCCAAGGCCCTGGGGCTGTCTACTGAGCAGCAGAGCTGCCTCGCTCCTGTGCGAGGTGATGTCCAGTGACGTGGTCACAGCTTGATCCCAGGCATCCACGCAGAAAAGAATTACATTCCCCAAGAAGCAAGGGCTGCCAGGCAGAGGTTACTGCTGGGGGGACCTGGCTGCTGCAGCAGGCTCTGGCCTCAGCACAGCCTGTGAGGTAATGTGAATTCCTTGGCTCACAGCAAGCACCTGAATTCCTTGGAAACCACAGGAATCCAGCACAGAAAAGGTAAATATCCCAGCAGAGGCAGAGTTAATTAGGAAGCAGGACTACTGAAGAAGGGGATGCTGTAGATGCAAAGTGCAGTGAGCTGGGCCATTATAAAGCCCAATGCCCACTCCAGCACCCCTAGAACTCTTGCATCGCTCTGGAAAAACTCCCCCCTTAGCTGCTCCTTGGGCCCTTCACAAAGGAGCATATGGTTTTCAGTTCAGATTTCCTACTCGTTCTCTCTCCCTCCCCCTCCTTTTTTTTTTTTTTTTTAATTAATCTTTTTCTCAATGCTGGTGTAAATCTGACCGAGAAGTTCCTGTTTGGCTAGGACACTCCTAGCCATTCAGACTCAGAAATAATGCTGCCTAAACCTGATAATTTAGACACACTCACCAACCCCCCCCCCGCAAAAAGTTGTATGGACATCTCCCCCAAATAAAACGCCATTTCACTATGAAATTCCTCCTGTCATGCATTGAATCCCCATTATGCCTGCACCCAGAGAGAGACACAGAGGGAAATGAGAAGTTCAAAACTGACAGCATAAGCCACTCTTGGCCCTGTGTCCTCTTCAGTTGCATTTCAAATGCAAGGCAGACAAGTTATTCTCTTCTTACACAGATTCTCTTCCAAAAAATAGCATAATCCTCTAATGCAGTTGTCCAGAAGATCAGTCTTGGGACTTCCACATGTTTGTGTCCACACAGCAGCTTACTGGGTATGGTAAGTCACCTTTAAAAGCATTTTTTCTGAAGTCAATTTGTAATTAAATCTATAGCTTATTAACATTGTGCCTCAGACTAGAATTTAAAAGCTATGCCAGTAAATATATTCTAAGTCGCAAACTTGAGAAACCACAAATAAATAAAACTGCAAAGACTTTTGACATATGTTTAAATGATTGACTTCTACCTGCAAGCAAGCCTGGACTCAACTAGCAAAGACTGTTTCTCAGTTTAGTATATACCCCTTAAGTCAATCCAATCCAATTACTGAGAATATCAGGAAATGTGCTCTACCTTTTTGTTTCCTTACTTCTCTGGGAATATGCTACCTGCTTCTGCTGACCTAAAGCTTTGTCTTCATAGAATACACTTTGTTTCTTTGCACAAGTGTGAAGCAGTAGCAGAAGGGGAAGACAGGGGTAGGCAGCCATAAAAAAAAAAAATCTACTTAGCATCAGCACCTCTTAAATTCTGTTTACTGCTATTCTAAGGAGTAAAGCTTGTATTTATGGTCAACACCTTCCTCAAAAATTGCACTGAGTAAACAGCATCATCCAGACAAATAAAACAGTTATTCAGAACTCCTGACACAGACCAAGCAACAATACCTGACAGCTGTTACTGTTACACACCCTAGGATAGATACCTTTCAGATCTCCTTCACCTTGGTCAAAGGAATTGTTTTCTTCTCCCCTTCACATGAGAATTGAAACACAAGCAACATTAGCTTGAACCCTCAATTCATTTTTTTCTTCTCAGCACTGAGGCCTCAAGTTCCACTCTAGATCACATCATGACAAGTCAAGCTGTGCTAAGAGAAACCAGGTCTAAGGACATATCTTGAGAAACATGAAGTTACAAACGTGCATAATACCAAGCCCCATCGTTTTCAAGAAAAGGATTACATCTTATGTTTTCCTGATAGCACTCCTCTTCTGGTAGAGGACACGAACTTGAGTGAAACAGTCCGGCTCTTGTTTGGAGCACTCAAAACATTACACCAGAAAGGAACCTTATCCTTCAACAAATTACAAAAAAAAATAAGATTAAAAAATATATTTCAAAAGGACAACCCAGAAAAGGTCAGCCTGACTATATTTTAGAGACTACCTACACTTTCAGAAAGCAAACTCAGAACACAGAAATCACCACAGCACCACACAAGCACTAATGGAGATTCCTAAACCAGATGCCTTTGTTCTGCATGTGGGTTTCCACTTCAGACTGCTTTAATATTCTCTTTGACTACAGGTCTCTAGGGTCTCTAGGTACCCTACTACATCGTGCTTCTATTTTTAAAGATTTTTGTCACAATGAAGAATGAAAACCAGCTTCCACTCCCCAAGGCTCTGATATTCTTCCCTTGCACAGCTGAAGTTTCATCCCAGCTTTAAACGGAAGTGTCACACTGTGCAAGGTAACCAAAGGAGTCTCTCCAGCATTTAACACCATACTGCTAAATGGAAGGCCTGAGACACAAACAGGAAGCCAGTAGCTCCAGGATCCTCACCTCTCTCCAAATGTCTGGAATCATGAATCCAGAGTATGTAAAAAGTTGCTAAAAATCAAAGACCACTAGTGCCATCTGGAGGCCACACAGCAGACACCCTCTCCCAATCTTCCCGTCACCTCTGCTCACACCTGAGCTGCCCTCCATAAAGGGCTTGCCAGCGCTTCTTACATAAACATACTGACTCTAGAGCCACCAGAGAAAGGAGTAATTGAAGATTCATTAAGGAAATCTGCTGTATAAATTCATACCTATCATTTGAAAACATTCTGATGTCTTGAGCCTATAGATCCCACTTTTCATGCAAGTGGATATGTGGTCTAGATTTGATTATAGTTTAAACAAATGGAAACTAAATACATTCAAAACTCCACAGGATTTTAGAACATGAAGAAATTCTCCCTACCTGGCCAATCCTTCCTCGTAGAGATAAATGACCAGTGGATCATAGGATGTAACCAGGACATACAGGCGCACATCAAATTTGAAATCTGAAATAGAGTTATCAGAAGTCAGTGGTTGCAAATTAGTTGAGAGGAGGCAAAAAAGGTAAGAAAAGACACACACACCCCCACATACACAGAAATCTAACCACAGCAGACCTTAAGAGCAACAGGAGGAGTAAACTAATCTGTTGCTGACATAGGGTGCCAGAAGCTTTCCCCATTGAAAAGCTTACTAGTTTAATGAATTTTCTCGTCACGTTTTTGTGGTACTGAAGGAAGACTCATCACTCTATTGAGTTCTTGCAATGCCCAAAATGCTCCCCAAGGTCTAGAAGCCAGAAAGAGGGAGAAGCACACTCACCATCTATGAGCAGGGGGTTGCTGATGTAACGAGAAACCAAGATGTTTTCTTCCAGGACAATCTGGCTTGGCTAAGGAAGACAGAATCCAAGAGTGAAAATAAAACAAGTTTACAAGGAGTAACAAGATAAATAGATTAAGCCTACTGTCCTTCTAGGCTTTCTTTCCCAAAGCCATTCTGCCCGACAGCTGTGTCTGATGAAGAAAAACATTGGTCAATCACAACATAATTAAGTCAATTAGATCCTAACAAGAAACCCAAGGAACAATTACATTTCCAAAATACTGAATCTGCTCCTTACAGTGGAATGCAGATCTAACAGCCACAGAGCAATACTGTAAAAATAACAGAAAGAAAACTTGGGAAGTAATTGTTACTCCAGTATTCAACTAGACACACGGAAGAGGGTTTTCTTAGAAGACCTTAGGAGGAGTATGTAACTACAGCAGGCGAGGAAGTCACGAATAAAGATGACAACTCCTCAATTTGTGATCTTTCCACTAGATCCAGTGCTGGTATCAAACCATTCATCCTAAGAAAACACCTTCTATGGAGGTGCAGCCCACAGCAGGGGCTACTGCACCAGGAAGTAGCTATTTTTGAAGTTCCAAATAGGAAGCTCTATCTGTAACAAATGCACATCTCAGTCATGGGAATTCTTTAAACAGCTTTTATTTTTTCCTGTATATAAATCTCTTCTTGTAACCAGTTTCAGCTACTCATATTTGCAAAACAGTTCCTTGACTCTAGTTTGCAAAGGAGTCAAGAGAGGCATCATCCTGCCTTTATTCAGTTTGGCATGTATTCAACCACATCACCAGTGACATAAGCAGGAATCCTAGGCCATACCTAAAGTATATACAACATGCTCAAACAAACTCAACTTCCATTAGCATGTAACACAACTGACAGCCTGTTTTACTATGCACTGAATTTAGCTGAGAGAATTACAATTTTTGAACTCTTTTGTGATGAGATTCTAGAAGATACTCTCTTCGTGGATACACACTGAAGGAAAATGAAGTCTTTGGGGAAAGCTAGCTGAAATATTTCTGGAAGAGGTATGCACAAAGGGAGATTGGCCCCAAAGGGATCTTTTCCCCAGTCCATGGCCAGCTGCCCACATTTAAGCCTGAGCTCATCCCTCTCTTTCAAGCAAAGCAAGAGAGGAGTGCAGCTCTGGAAATACTTACCTCATACACTTGGCGAAATGCTCCCTTATTTTATGGGAAAGGATCCAGGTAGAGAACAGATGAGGCAGCATGACCCCTTCAGTGCAGGGAGGCTAAAGAGGTTTGAATGAGTGAAAACAAATGACCCACTAGTCAGTTTTGTTGCTGGGAATATCTACTGGAATCCCCTCATGTGTTTTGGCTCCTGCCCAGATGTATTTGTTACCTATGATAGTCTAACTCCCTGCAAAGCCTAAAAAAAAAAAAATCAGTGGAAAATTAACAATATAACCAACAAAATGAATTTAGAGTCATCCTCATTACACCTCCATAAAGGCACACTAATGGTCCGATAAAATTCTATAGAACGGATATATATTTTCCTGTACCTATGGAACCTCATTTTAAATGTTCTTATTCCTAGGGGACCACATGGGACTATTTGGATTGCACAGGAAAAACAACCTTCCCTCTTCCAAAAGAGTAACAGAAAGCACACCAGAACAACAACAAACTGTACAACTTCCTGGGAATCTTCTGAAGGCCAGCCTGCCATCAGCCACAAGACTGCGTGAAGATGCACGGCTTCCAAAACTGCCTCAGGGAAAATAACCATTTCCTTATAAACTAAGACTTGAAAGGAGCATATGTTGCAAGACAAGCACAGCAGCTAGAGAAATAGCTTGGTTCTCAGTTACGCAGTATAGAGCAGCACAGGCTTGGCCATCTGTTCAGGAATGCGCCAACAGCAAGTTATATGTTCCATGCCACTTGTCTTAAAGCTGGCATGGTTCTGCAGACAGTGTTACTCATGAGCACTTACACACTTACATTGTTGATCAGGTAAACACCTCGACCCCTGGAAGAGGCCACAGGCTTCACTATCCATGGGCCCTTGTCTTTAGAATACGTATCTGGTTAAAAGAAAAGAGTGCAGATGTGAAACATCTCCCATTTTCTTTATTTACAGAGCAGCAAGAATGTTGCCTACATTAAAAGCTTTAGACAATTCCAGGAGATTACGGTCTCTGCTTATCAACATCCTTTTCTTCACTTCTTGAGACTCACTAAGTTACTACTGGCCCTCCCTCAAGCCTATCCTGTTGTTCTGACGGCTTCTTTTCCCTGCCCTGCACCTCCTTTTGGCATCTCTCTCTCTCCAGTACTCCCAGATATTAGTTAGGGATATTACAAAGCTGAGAACTTATGCAGACATGGAGTATACAGCATAGCAGAAGTGATATAAAGAAATGATATAAGCCTCTTCCACTGACTATATTTCCAATTTCCTCCTATTTGGTTGCCTCAACCACTGGCAAAAAAAACAACAATTTGGAAAATAAAAGTAATCTTCCCTAC